GTATTTATCACAGCCCCACTGCCTCTTCCACTTAGCTGACCTGCCTGGTCTGAAGACATGTGCATTTGTGCCCCCAATTTTTAGCTTTGTTATTTCTTGACTTTTCCATTGAGAAATTATATCAACCCCTCCTGCAGCCTCCTATAGTTATTCCCCCCCCACCTCAATTATTTGTCTTTTTTTTTCCTTATGCAGTTCTACCACTAATACTGTATTGACTTGGACCTCAGTATTGTGCAAGCATTCAAAGATTCCTTACTGTTTACTAGGGCAGAGTTCAGGCTATACCACCTGAAAACAGGTTGCTTCTCGCATACTTACAAAAACCAGAACTGAGGTTGCCATTTTTCTCTTCTCTCTCTTTCTTTCTTTCTTTCTTTCTTTCTTTCTTTCTTTCTTTCTTTCTTTCTTTCTTTCTTTCTTTCTTTCTCTCTCTCTCTCTCTCTCTCTCTCTCTCTTTCTTTCTTTCTTTCTTTCTTTCTTTCTTTCTTTCTTTCTTTCTTTCTTTCTTTCTTTCTTTCTTTCTTTCTTTCTTTTCAGATGGAATTTTGCTCCTTTCTTCCAGGCTGGAGTGCAGTGGCGTTATCTCGGCTCATTGCAACTTCCACCTTCTGGTTTCAGGTGATTCTCCTGTCTCAGCCTCCTGAGTAGCTGGGATTATAGGCACCCGCCGCCACACTGGGCTAATTTTTGTATTTTTGGTATAGACGGGATTTCACCATGTTGGCCAGGCTGGTCTCTAACTCCTAACCTCGTGGTCCACCCGCCTTGGCCTCCCAAAGTGCTGGGATTACAGGCGTGAGCCACCGAGCCTGGCTGCCATTTTTCTTAAAGTAAGACACAACGAAACAATTTGTGATAATTTTACAGGAGTCCACCGTCATATGTGGTTTCACTTTCTGCAGCTTCAGTTACTTGAGGTCAACCTCAGTCTGCAAATAGGTGAGTCCAGTCCAATAAGATATTCTGAGAGAGTGAGCAAGCGAGCATGTTCACATACTCTTTTTTTTTTTTTTACAGTATAGTGTTATAATTGTTCTATTATTAGTTATTGTTAATCCCTTACTATCCCCAATTTCTGAATTAAACTTTATCATAGGTATGTATGTGTAGAAAAAAATAGAATACATAGGGTTCTGTACTATCTGTGATTTCAGTCATCTGCGAGGGGTCTTGGAATGTATCTTCCTTGAATAAGGTGGGATGACTGTAATTGATTCTTAAATGAATAGATGAAATCAATTATTTAGCCGACACTGTCTTTTCAGCATTTGAAGAGGGCTTGTCAAACCCAGGCACTAAGGCATTTCCTCAGCAGGACTGAAAAGTACACATCTGTGAAGGCGAGGGTGGTTGAAGGATATTTAGGAGTAGGAGGAGGCAGATGAGATCATTCTCGGAACAAAAATGTTCTCATCTCCTAGATGGGTTTAGACTTTGTCTACACCAAGGTCACGCTGGGGAGATGGGATGTGTAATGTGATATTTATTTGGCAATGTATGTGGCCAGCCACATACATTGTGTGCTCAATTCAGCTTACAAGTGCCGGCTCCCGGCTCTGAGGGCCCCATGTGCTTTGACTTGGTGGAAGGCTGCTCTGCCAGGGATTACGCATCCCTACCTCTGACCTGGTCATTATTCCTAATTATCATTCATTTAAAATAGTCAGCAGGGCAATAGCATGTGCACATCAAGGATCACAAAAGGAACTTGGATTAGGAGGAATAAAAAATCTGTCCCACATGTGGCACTATTAAAAAGCTCTGGCTGAGACATACTGTTTATAGTCAGCAGTTGTCTGGAAAATAGATGTTTACTTGTAATGCGTGTATTAAGATCTTTGCCATTAGGCAATATATATCCTGCATTGTGTTTTCTCTTACATAAAACTCTACATTGGGACAAACCTTTAATGAGCAATCCTGTGGCAACAAAAAGTATTCAACACCAATACTGTTATATGTTGGCATTTCTGCTTATTACAAAAAAGATAGACAGAGAGCCAAAACCTGGAACTTTTCTTTGGAAGGATGGCCTCTTTTTTTTTTTTAATTTTCTTTAATGGAATGCTCCATTTAAATCTGTAAGTGAAATATTTGCTAAATAAAGATTAAATTACTAACAGAAAAAAATGTTCTCAATATTTGGCAAGAACTTAGACACCCTGGGTTTCCCTGACCCATGCATGCATCTTCTGATGAAAAGGTGTATTATAATATGCCTAGGTGCACTCTTTGAATGAGGCTCTCTCATCTATCTAATGAATTTCTTTTGTTGGTGATGAGACTAGATTTTCTGCCTCAGAACAGGAACATGGACAATGCTTCTGGAACAGGGAGCAGGCACCACAAGACTTGTGTCTTATTCTTGCTGTTGACACAATATACGTTTTTCTGCCTCTATTGTCTTAGCAAACAGACTTGTGCCCCCAGAATACCATCCTATTAAGGGATGATCCTACTTCTGTGAAGTTCTGAATAACGTTACATTCTAGTGCTAAAATAATGAATTCACTTCAGACAAATTTGGTCTAAGATTAAGCAAGTGGACTCTACAGTCTGGGTGGCCCATCCTCGGCCTGGGCACATCCTTAGGCAGTGGGCAATGTTTTGTTAGTCTTGGTTCTTGTATATATAAAGCGGGACAATAATGCTTACTTCATAGGTTTGTGGTGAAGACTACATGACAAATAAAAAAAAATATGTAAAGCCCTTAGCACAGATTTTCACAGATAGTTATCAATCAATGTTATTTGTTAGGTGCAGAGAGATTCCCTAGTGCTTTTAAAACTTGAATGATGGCAGCTGGCAGAAGCAGCCACTGATTTTCGCCCCCTCTGGCCCTTAGTAGGGGCCCAATAGATATTTGATGAATAGGTGAAGGAATAAAGGACTACCAGAACAAGCCCCTAAATGTTAACTCCCAGCTCTACCAGTCTAAGCAACCAACTCATTTAGTCAGATCACACACTCCTCTTCATCTTCTATATCTCTCAGTAGAACCCACCATTGCAATTAGAAACAGGAAAAATGGTCACATATTCATCTAGAACTCTCTTAAGCCAAATCAACAAATACTTATTCAGGGCAACAGAGGTGAGCAGAGTGAGGTCAGGAATGATAATTCTCAGCGTGGTTTCCAGAGCACGGCTCTGCAGAGATATACGACACAGTAAAAATCTAGAACAGTGTTTTGTTTTCATTATTTATTTTTAATTTTAAATGATCTGATGGCATAAGATGAATCCTTACCCTCTTATCCTGATCTGCTATTTCATTCCCTGCCAAGCACCCATTTCATCATATATGCTCACCTGGAACATTCAAGCCTGCTGCCACAGTTAGAAAGATTCCTTTCTCAGCTGGTGCCAAAGGGATCTCAAAATGGTTTTGAATGCCTGTTGGATTAACACCCCCCCCCGCCTTATGGGTCCTCTTCTCTATTCATTCACTAATATGGGCATTTGGAATTTGAAGACAATGTACTGCATTAGGGCTACTGCAATCTATTTTTCATTTTCAAAATAGTGCATCTTGCTTTCCCCCTTATAGTATTTCATTGTTTGCTTGGTTTCACAGATCTGTTTTGGTAAGAAAGTTTTGAGAATATCCTGGGATTATAGTCTTTGAATGAACTTTCATGCCTATAGTATAAGCCCCTTTGGTTTAAAACTATCCCACTTAAAAGCATCTACTTATAACTACCAGCTGCTGGTTCTTTTCTGTTCCTACTCATGAATGCACACACAGACACATACAGATACATGTGCATGCCTGGTTGCACGCGCACACACACACGCACACCCTCACATGCACTGTTTATATGTAAACATCCAGAAGAAACAATGCATTGTAAAAATTGTCCTGTTGAGTTTGTAATCGAGAGTGAGTTACTGAGTGCTGATAAGTAAAGGAAGTGCAACCAGACAGTTTAATCCTCCAATTTCCTGTCTTCTAATCAGCCCCTGACTCTTTTGGTTTTAAATTAGAAACATTCCTGTCAATATTCAGTACAGGTGAAGGAAAATCAACTAGAAAATAAGTAAGGACAAAGCATTTATTTCACTGTCTAAAGTTCACAGGGGAAATATGAGTGTAACAACAGGAAATCAAGATTTTAAAAAAGATAGTAGAAGTACATAGGCTTGCTTAAGTAACCAATCACAATTCTGAATGAAGTACATTTGGATCATAATTTGATTTAAAGAAAAAAGTAGGAACATAGTTCAATGTATTTACTTCTCCCTAAAAATAGTAAGTGGTACTTTAAAAGATGTTGTACAAGGCTAACCTAAAAGAAAATGATAAGGATAACTTGTTAATATATGTGAGAGAGAAAAAAAACCTACCCCATTCAGATTTTGCTTGCAATCTGCTTATACTGTGAGAAAATAATATTGGAGTGTATAGAAATCTTGTAAGTTAATGCATATTCTTAGATATGAATATACTTACATATATTTATAATGGTCGATAAAAATAAAATTGTGCATTTAGAAATAAGCTCAGGTGGAGCCACTGTACTGCAAATATCTGCAAAATATCTGTGAAAATACTTAAAAATAGAGTTTGCAAATGCATTAAATAGAAAGTGTATAAATATGTTTACCATGGACTCTTTAAAAATATGCTGAGTGCTGAGAATATGATATGCTTTATAATTTATTGAATCTCCTAATTTTGAGTCTTTTTATTTATAGACATTGTAGCAATTTCCTAGTTTATCATAAAGGCATAAGTGCAAATTTATAGACAAATCTCCATTATGCAATATCTTCAAAGAATTACAACAAACAATCATTAAGAAGAGTTTTTCAGCTGAGAATATTGAAAACTGAAATGGTAAATACAACATAATATGTGAATCCAACACATCTTAACAACAACAAAAGATTTCCATGAAATATGAGTTCTTAATTTTGTGTTTGCAGTAGTTAAAGCTGCCAATCATTTGGGAAGTAGGCTGGAGTTGAGTTTTTTTTTTTTTTTTTTTTTAATTGTTGAACATAGTAAGGCAGTATTTCATAGAAATATCTTGCTATTTTTTTACATATATACTTTAAAAAGTAGGCATTTATACTACAAGGCACAGCATATTCTTTTTGCTCAAGTGTTTTCCTGGTATGCAAAGTTTGAGTTGTACAAGTTTGAGTAAGTGACAGACAGTTCTTGATTTTAAAAGTGTGTGTCAAATTTTTTAAAGAATGCTCCCAAAATAAGTGCTTCAGGACCTAGCATTGGGTGAGGGGGCTGTAGGATAATTTAGTTGCCTTCATTTCACAGTCACTATGAGTTTTTAAATTGGAGGGCAGAAGCAAGACAAGTGCATTTTGTAATTCACATAAAAATAGTTCCATAACACATTGTTATCATTACGAAGAGGAGAATGTTCATTCTGCCTTCACTTTATGCCATATGGGTAGAATGGAGATAATTCTGCTGGACAGAATTATATTTTGAAGCAAATACATGCTTGTAGGGTGCCTCCATTTCATTTGGAGCTGAGGAAAATTTCATGAGGGTTCTTTAGTTTTCTATGGGAGAGTTTCTACCAGCGATGTCACAACACAGCTAGATTAAGTTGATACGTAATATCTATTTCTTGATTTGCATGATTAAAGCATTAGAGAAGTGGCTCAGATATCAAAAGGTTTCTCATAAGTGGCAGCGCCAAAGGTAATTACTGTTAAAATGTACATGCTCGAAACCTGGTTGCTTGTTAACTTCTAAGTTGTTTACAACTCTGTGGGTTTGAATAAACGTTTTTATTTGACTTTTCAATAGCAAGACCCCTTTCTTGCTCCATTTCGATATAAAAAATGATACCATTCTTATATCCCATGTCCCTCAAGGCAACCTTAGCTTCAACCAAAAAAAGTGATAGAGGACAGAGATGGCCCTTCTCAGTATTTCATATTTTAAAATAACTGTTTCTTAAACAAAAGTAGTCTTTTAAAGACAAAGTTAAAATTTATACCTAAAAAAATTAAAAATTAATCGAGTCAACCAATTATTTCCAGTTAGTTATCAAAAAGTGTAGCTAAAGCCCTACTGTAAGCCTGAGGGAGTTATGAGGGGGGTGGGGAGAGAGAGGAAAAGAGAGAGGGAAGGAGAAGAGAGGTTGTTATTCTCAGTCTTTTATTAACCAGTTTCTTTCATCCTAGTGTGTCTTTATTATTTAGAAAAATAAAAATCATCCAGAGCTCTACCCATTCCCACCTAAAATTCTGGAGTAGGTAGTGACTGTCTACAACCTGGTACAACATATGCCCCCAAACTAAAACAAACAAACTCATTTGCCATACAAATTGTTTACGATTCATTAAAAAGCAAAATTGCATATCCCGTCGCTGGCAGCTGAGGCCGTGTCTCCACGGGCGGAGGGGGCATTCACTGAGTTGCCTTTGTATGCTGGGAGGACCAAGCCGGAGGTTCCCACTATGAGCCCGGAGTCTGTGCAGCCAGATGACGCATGAGGTAATTTTAAAGCTTTATTTGCCTTTAGTGTGAAACTCCGATCTTGTACTATCCTTTGGTTAAAGAACTATATCAGCCAGAGGGAAGTTTAAATTTTTCTTTCAGCTGGGGAAATTGTTTGGGATAGCGAGGTGGGTGAATGGAGGGAGAGGGAGAGCGTGTTATTCAAGGAAAGAGATCTAAGAGAAAACGTGAAATTTGTATTATTTTAATTAGTTCCCTCCTCCTTCATCAAAGTCTTCAATTTCCCATCAATAATGGGAAATTTACATTAGAATTATTTGTAACTGACGGATCTGAAATGCCATGGTATGTGGTCACTTTGAGGGAAAGCAACAAATTGATTTATTCCCTATGATAACTTGTATAACTTCTTTAGAGAGTGCTCTGATTTCTCACCCCTTTTCAAAGCAAAGATCTAGAAGCCCTGAAGTTGAGAGAAACTTCCCTGTAGTATGCAGCCTAAACAGCAGCATGTGAGCTTTCAACATTGTTTATTTTTAGGCAGCTGCATTGCTAAATGTTTCCACCACTTTTATATATTATATTCCCGGCGGTAAAACATCTGTAAAATAATTTTAAATGAAAAGCAACTTCCAAGTAAACTTTACAAAAAAGAAATTACAGTTTTCCAAGTTAAAAGAAGAGAAGCATTTGGTGATCTTTGCAAGAAAAAAAAAAAAAGAGATGACACAATTTGCCATAAAAAGTAACAGTCTATAAAATCTATGAGCTCTTGAAATACAAGGAAGTAGAATGTTTCACCCAAAATATGACATCAGCGCGCAGGTTTTTTTTAAAGCTTACAACTTAGAAAATGATTGCTAAACCAATCAGTATATTCATTTCTAATGTTTAACAAGCTGTGTAAAGTGAAGCAATAGGCAACATCATAGCATATACAAGTAAACCTTGTTCTTGCTGGCAAAAACTCTAATGGGAAAATAAGTGCCCTGAACAAAAGTTCAGGGTCGAAGTGGATAGTCTACTGTTAGTCTAATTAGCCAAAAGCTGCATGTAACATTGTCCTGAAATTCCTGATAAAGTTTCTAATGTCTAGTTAAGAATTACAAGTTAAAATACACATGTACACACATACCCACAACCACTTTAACTCAAGAGTCCTTAGGATGGACATACTGCATCCCAAGAAGCAGCCGGATGGAATCCTGTGGTAGCTCACTTTTAACAGTCTCTCAGTCCTCCAAATTCCTACAACTTGCCAAAATGATACCACCATTGGTCCAGGAAGGGGAAAAGAGAACTCTTTCTGCAGATCCTACAATGAAACTGACCATGCCCTGTTTTGTAATTCCATTCGCCAGTCTCCCCCTTCAACATCTCTCCCTCTCTCTCTCTCTCTTTTTTTCTTAAACTGATATCTATGTGAAATGAGCTGAAGTTCACGGTCCAGTTAGGAACGGATAATACATTCATTGTCCTGGCAGCAAACTTTTTTTCCACTCCCTGGAAGAATTCACGCTTGCCGCAAGAATAATAATTACGGAAAACTAGAAATGCACTGCTGACAAATTAATCCTTAACGGACACCACCCTAACGAGGGCAGTAATGATTTGAGGACTCTCTTCCTCACGGGACTTGCATCTCCTGTGACAATGAGCTATTGTGCATCCTCCCAACTCACTCTACCTCTTATAGATCCAAGATGTCAAAGGTTGTCTGTCCTGGTGGACCATGACATGTGAGTTAACTCATTCTGCTGCTGCGTGGCAGAACTTTATTAAAACTTTATTTGTATCCAGAGTAACTAAAAGATAGTGTGTGCGGGTCTTTTCCACTCAGAGCTAGAGTGCCTAAGAGACGGAAAACCTGCTCTGATATTTAAACGGAGAAAAGTTAGATGGGAGCTGTGGGTCCCCTGATGGAAAATAGGGAGTGGGGACCCAGAGTTCTCTCACAGGTGACTTTAGGCAATCCAATTAATTGGCCAGGACTGGCATTCACTCAGGGCTTGCTTCTCCCCAGTGCCCAACACGCGTCCTCAGAAAATACCACAGCCAGAGAAAACTATACACCCCACAGTCCCTGAAAACAAAAGTAAGGGGGATGTGAAACTGGAGAGAGGGGGCAAAACCTGAGGGCCGGGACCAATGCCTCATTTTTTCCCCCAAGACTGACTTGGCTAAAATATCCACCTCCACCTTACAACTGATACTCTTTAAAAAAGAATTAAAAACAAAACAAAAAAGAAAACCCCAAATACTGTCCCATGGAAAACGAGGGGAGGCATTCCTGAAAACTCAAGTCGCAGAGTGGCAGAGAGAGGATGGCAAGAGGCAGCAGTGTGAGGCTGCCTCACTGAATAGTGTGAAAAAAATCAAATGTGAGTTTGATGAATGTGAGGTCTGGGACATTTTGTCAAAGAGGGAGGGAAAGTAGAAAAGGAAAAAAAAAAAAAAAAAAAAAAAAAAAAAAGCAGCCCCGGCTGCCAACTCACCATCCACCAAGTTCTGGCCGAGATGTCGTAGCAGAGCTGCCATTTGATGGAGCCGTCGGAAGCTTTCCCTGCCATTACGCTGTCAGCAAGCTTCATCTGATGCTAACTCACGGGAGATAAGACACCTAATTGAGAAAACATTTGCAGTGGCATGTGGGGCAACATGTAGTCCGGTCCATACCATATGGAATCATGGGTAAAAAAAAAATCTCCTTGACAATGAACCAATCTCTCACAGACCCAGTGGCAAGGTGAAGTGGAGATGAAAAGTCTTCTGCTCCTAGCACTGTCTTCTCCTCTCTCCTTTTTAAAAAACAAGAGCCCACTGCTACACATCAAAGGGAGGTGGTTAAAATTAGGGCTTCATCACTCAGATGATTTTGGTCTGCAGGGTTTTTCCTTTCCTTCCAACAACCAATCCCCCCCCTCTTTTTTTTTTTTTTTTTTTTTTTTAAGGAGAATAAAGAGATTTAATAGGACAAAGGCAGGTAGTGGACTGCGGAGGGAGATCGCCACAGGCTATTAGCCTAAAATTTCTGCTTGACAGATGGAACTGCTTAGAGACTATCATGCAATGTTTTGGGCTTTTTCCCCCCTATTCACCCCCCCTTCTTCGACTTTAAGTCTGATTCAGTATCTGTTTTTCACAGCCACTTTTCTCAAGAACGTGAGCTGTGCATTTAAAAAAATGTTTAGTTCAGTTTTGCTGTCTTACACATCTCTGTTGGAAAAGTCTCAAACTAAATCTGGGAACAACTGAACAGGTTTTCCAAGGAGTTAAAAAAAATTTCCAGGAAAAAATATTTCTCTTTCCTTACTTTATTTTTTAAAAATTAACTCATTAGTTAATTTAGTCATGAAGGAAGATAAACGAGAGATGGCAGCATTCAAGTCTCTTGATTTTTGGTTTGGCTGGCATTGTGTTTAGATGTATGTTTTTATGTGAGTAAATAAATACGTTACTGATATTTTACAAGTTCTAACCTATGCTGGGCTAGGCACCACCGATATTTTTTGGTGTCTTTTTAAATAAATTAATTTTGGACTTTTCCATTCTTTGTAAACAAAGCAATCAGTCATTATCAATTCGGATTAGCACAATTCAGGCTAAACTTGACATGAGCTCTTCCTTAATCAGAGAAAGTCACTTCTGATTTCCTTACTGTAACCTAGCCATCTTCTTCACAGGGGTTTTTAACCACACGTCCTGTCTTTAGTATGGAAAAGTAGACCGCAACATGGACCTACCAATAAGAATGTTTGTAAAAATAATTTTTTTTTTTAAAGTGAGAAAAAGTCCAGACAATTGCTGCATTTCAAGTCATTTTACTTAGGACTAAGAAGGAGAAAGAAGCAGAGAGAATGACTTGTATTCGTTATATTCTTTCAAATTGTGTAACATTAGGAACTGCAGAAATACCTTTATCAGGGTACCAAACACGTCCTAATTTTTGTGGATGTGCACCAAATGCATCCTCTTTTTTTCTGAATATAAGCGATCCTTTGATTTCCAAGAACCTACAGTTTTCTCTGGTATGGGCCTTCAATATAGGTACTCCAAAGTATGGGAGAATCTGTCCATCACTATTTCTCAGGGCTATCGAACTGTGATTATTTAAAAAGTTGTGCGTTTACTGCCTAATTTTCCAGTGGATTTTTTGTTCTGGTCATGTTTTTGACTGAATAATATTTAGATAAACTTGTTTAGAGCATATTTTAAGTTCAAAAGAGGTAAATTTGGTGCATTTTGCTTTCCTATTTCTGATCTCTTCTTTAGTAGGTATTATTTTAACCATTTAGCACGCTTTTTTGACAAAAATAACTGTATTAAGGCAAATTTTATCCTGTTGCACCAAAAATATTTCTAATTTAAAGCATGATGCACAGGCTGCTTCTAGGAATGAACCACAAATACAACAAATATGGCATTTTTTTCCCTTTCTCATTCTTTATTGTCATGGGATTTCTTCTAATAATATTGGGGTGAGAGGTGGTAGCCAGAATTATTATCAAATGTAAACATTGCCGTCACTCTTAGGAAGTATCTTTGTATACTTTATTACCTTGGTGTCACCTGTCTTTTCAGAAGAAGAGTCTGCAGTAGCGCAGGAAATGTTGTTAGCTTGTGTCTAACAAATACAAATGGACCTACTACCAGAAACTTGCCCTGAGCTTGCCAATGAAAACATTTATTGCCATGTGTAACTGCAGCATCATTAAAATTATTTAGTCTTTCTTGAGTTTATCATTTAGAGAAAGATAAGGAAAAAAGTTGGAAATTCTATGTAAAATGTAAAATATCATCAACCAAACAAAAAAGGAGGAAAAAAAAAAAAGAAGAAGAAAAGAAATGAAGTAGCATTCTGTCTTTGAATCAACCAACCTCTGATTCTACTTCATCCATTCCTACTTGCCTCTGACAAGCAGACAAAACAAAATTTCCTTGTTTTAGGGTCTCCTCCGCTTTCTCCCAGGACATACAGGCACGTGGACATCTTGAACTTGTGGGTCCACAGCTTTACAATTTCTGAGTTTATCCTG